GCCCCCCGGGTAATATTTAATTCTCAGTACCCCAGAATTTATAACATTCTCCATCTACCGTATCTGGAATCGCCAATTTAAAAAATATTGGTGATTCGCGCTCCGCGCCCGTGTCGCATATAAACCCGAGAAAGTGGATAAACTAACTCACTGGTCAGACGGCATAGGCCGAGAAAGGAGTGGATAGGAGCGAGAGGAGGAATTCCCATATAAATTTCACCGCGTGGACTGGCGGTTGGAGGGTGGGAGAGGCGAGATCAACATTAAAAAGTTGGAGCCAGAAAAAAAAAGTGATGAGGGAAAGAGGGAAAAATAAAAACAGGCGAAATGAAGATGTGAAAAGGAACTGATGGCAATCATCTGAGTGCCAGGAAGCTAATATAAATAATATACGCGTGTGATATCCACGTATGCGGGGTTATGACAAATCAGAACATGAATCAACACTTTTTACGAGAAAATATGATTAGATTGAGCAATAAAAATTGTAATTTCGACGTCAACTCATCACGAGAATCGATTTATCGACACGGAATTGGGTGTGATATCGCGAATTAGTGCGAGGGGATGAGTTCTTTGAGAAGATAAAAATGATAAAAATGTTTGAATGTGATTAGAGTTCATACGATGAAATAAAATGATAGCAGAACTGAAAAATGGAATAAAATAGAGTGCATTGTGAACTCTAGTGTATTGAAGACGTCTTAATTCAAGACATTAGAGACGAATATGTGAAAATAAAATTAATTCGTGAGAGAACACACTTTATTTCCATAAAAACTCCATAAAAAATCTCCCATAGTACATCATTATACACCGGACACCCATCGAACGGTATAAAAATCGATGGGAGTTGGTATATGATTGATAAAGGGTCTGAGCATAGCCGGGCAGTAGCCACTGGGTTCGGGCATCGCATGGATGACATATGACGAACAATGGCGACCCTCGAAGTGTCAAGACATTAAATGAACCGTAATTGTTTATATAGAGAAAAGTACAGAGCGAAACAACAGCTCTGGGGATAATTAATTATTCTCAATATGATTGATGCCTCCGGGGTCGTTGAATATGTGCGAATATATTATAAAAATCTAAATTGACTGGTGATGAAAATTTGGTGCTCGAAATTAAGAATTCAAAATTAAGGGTAACATGAGGGTCAAAATAAGGGTCACAAGGATCAGATTAAGGGTCCTAATAAGGTTCAGCAGGGCCTAAATGAGGGTTACGAGCGTTATAATAAGGGTCAGATTAAGAATCCAAATAAGGGTCACAAAGGTCAGATTAAGGGTCCAAATCAGTAGCGAAGCGGTAAACCGGGTTAAGTCGATTTTGACTATTGGCCAGTTTTCTACTAATATCTCGAAATCTAAAAGAGATAGAAAATTTTTTGTCATGACCTTTTTTGTAGAGCTAATCTCGGGTTATAAAAAAGGTCATGAGAAAAATTTGGCTATCTGTCTTAGATTCCGAGATATTACTAAAAAATTGCTCAAAATTGAAAATCGACTTAATGCGGTTTACCGCTTCACTGCTGAAATAAGGGTCATGGGGATCAGCAACGGTTAAAATAGGGCTCAACAAGGCTCACAATGGTTAAAATAAGGGTCTCATTATCTCTCTCTATTGCAAAAATCCAATTGACTTCTGGTGACGAAAATTTGGCCCTAGAAATTAAGACTCCAAATTAAGGCTCAAAATAAGGGTCACGAGGGGTATAATAGGGTCATGAAGGGATCACATGGGGGTCATGTCTAGGTCATACAGAGGTTGACGATCAAAGCGGATGCGATAAATGGCTGTGAAAAAAAAAATGAACTGTTGAAAAGTCTAATGGGAGAATGGGAGTAAGCCAACGGGTTATCCATTCTTCCCCTCCGTAAGTTGGAAGCTACAATGGCAGTGCGTCTTGTGGCGCCACATAGTCTCACAGACACGCCCCTCTTTCCAAGAAGCTCCGGCATAACCAAACAATAAGGTATACTCAATGCCCTGTGTTACTCGGCGGTTTTCAGACATATGCTACCTCCAAGGGGAAATTGTAATTCACGCCTTGGGGCACGCGCAAACGAAGTACATAGTTATTTACCGTCGGTCTACGGCCCCCGAGGTGGCCTGTAATCGAGAGCATTGTGAGTTGAGAGGGGTCGGAGGGAGAAGGGTTCGGGGTTGTTTTGTATCTGCTGGTTGTCCAATTGGGCTTGGAGTGGGATGCAACTTGATAATTAATCGAATCAAGGGTGATGCACTTGTGAAATTTAAGGAAATTAATTTAATTATTCTTCGCTGGCGGAAATTTATAGCTGACATTTTAATTTTTGGAAGTATTGTCACGCAGTTCTAGGGAAGTTTCAAGGGATTTCGTCAACAAAAATCGAAAATTTCAATCAACAATGAATGGGATCTGTGAACTTGCAGTTGAAGTATTCCATGGAAATTTATAGAAATGAGAAAAATTTAGGTGAATGTATCCTTGAATTTTTTAATAATGAAAATTCGGGGCAGTTAAATAATGAAAATTTGAAATTTTGTGAGAAACATCAAGAAGAACAGTAAATTTCAGTTCAATGATTCCTCAAAAATTATTAGGAATCAGAAAGATTCTGATAAATATATTCTTGGATTTTCAATTATTTGGTAATTCAGCGGGATTTTATAATAAATATCTATGTGCTGATTGAAAATTCAAGTGACTTGGAAAATTCTCGTCCTGTTGACGTCGGAAAATCTGGAATTTTCAATTTTTTTCTAACGGTGAACAATTCTTTCGCAAAATGAATTTCTCATGTTTATGGAATTTTTTCGGCATGTTGGACTGAAGTAATTATACTGAAATATATTCTTCATGTTTACTCAGGTACACCACTCCCTGAGTATTTTAATTACATTTTCCCAAACTGAAAGCCTCCACTCTGCTGTTCTCCCAGAATATGAAGCCTCCGCAAAACTTTTCTGACATGATTTCAACCCTGTAAACTTCCTTAAATTTCTTGGCCTCAGTCTAACAGTATCTGTTACACACTTATTAACGAAATTCATTCACTTAAAAGGTGCTCATCAGTAAGGCGACGTTGATGGAAACAGTATTTTGCAATTAAAAAAAAATTATGCTCCACTTAAAACCAAAAAATGAAAGAAAAATTCTCAAATTTTTCCCAATAGTGAACAATTCTCCCGGCAAATTAATTTCTCGTTATTAGAGAAATTTTTCGGCGTATTAAATTGACTGAAATGATTATACTGAAATATATTATGCATATTTACTGAGGTACACCAATGTCGGAGTATTTTAATTACATTTTCCCAAACTGAAAGCCTCCACTTTGCTGTTTTCAGAGAACATGAAGCCTCCGCAAAACTTTTCCGACATGATTTCAACCCTGTGAACTTCCTTAAACTTCTTGACATTAGTCTAATAGTATCTGTTGTACACTTATTAACGAAATTCATTACTTGAAATGTGTTCATCAACAAGTTAGCGCTGATGTAAACAGTATTTATTTCAAGTATCTATTCCAATAAAATTATACAACACTTAAAACCAAAAAGTGAAAGAAAAAAGTACGAAATAAAATCACGAAAATGGGGTAATTTTATTTTCTCCGAGAGTTCCACTTCTATCATCAAGTCGTCTACTGGAGTAGAGGCAACTCCCTTCGATCGAAGATCCCAGCGCCCAGCTGTGCGCCCCCCTCCCCCACATATAGAATATGTGATACCGAGAGAAAACGACGTAGAAGACTCGCGAGGGAAGAAAATTAAGAAAAAATATCAGAGACAGAGGAGTGGAAATGCTCGAGGGCGCAGTTCTATCCTCCGAGCAAAAGGCAGAGTTGTATTGACCGGAGCTGACTGGATTCACCCGTTCTCGGGGCCATTGTCTCCCTCAGCTAAGGAGGAAAAGTCAGGGAAAAGGAAAAACAATGCCGTTAAATTCTCAAGTTAGATGATGTGAAAGCGCTTGAGACGATGTGACGGGGGTATGAGGAGTCTTGAAATCACTAAAAAAACCTTGATTAAATTGCCTCGCAATACAAATCCATTTTAGTGGACGTTAAAGTTCTGAATCTGCAGTTAAACGGGGAAAAACGAATCGTGCGATTAGGACGTTTGGAAAGAGAGTAAACTGGAGAATTTTTTTTTCCCCTATTTGAATTTTCGTTTGAGAGTAAATTCTGAATCAAGTTCTTGTGCTGAGCATCAGAAACGTAGCAAGGGTTTCCAATTGACATTATTATAATGAAAAAGTAAGAAATTCGGAATCTGCAGGTGAAATTTTCATATAGAAAAAAGCAAAGTGAAGAAAACGTTAAATCATCAATATTTCCTGACCAGATGATGCGCTTAGTATAAGTCAGGTCTCATTTTCAAGTCTAAAAGAATACTTTGGAAATGAAATGAAAAATTTTCATTTTCACTCTACCAGTTTCGAGTTATTGATGAAGGAAAATGTCTCATCTCTAAAACTGATTTTTCCTCGGGACAAAAAAAATAAATTTCCTGAAAAAATTTCTCCAAAAAATTGCAAAAATTTTCTGTAAAAAACCGGTGAAATGCTTCAACCACATCCTCCCCTCAAGAATGTAACTCAATCCGGCGCCCACTGTGTCCACATATTGACACTTTTTACTGTCGTCCGTTTCCCGGTCTATTTTTCGAAATGGTGCTACTAAAATGTCGTCGTGACATTTGCTATGAAGCACCACTCGCCAGATCCACGGATACCGGCTCATGACAGATATTAGTAGCAGCCGCTGGACTTCCAACACTAGAAAACGTTAAATCCCACACGCCTTTGCCCCCGCGAGTCACGTACCAATTAACCTGTCACGTTCTATTTCCACTCGTTCCCACTGACAAACCGGGAATAAAAAATATTGCCAAGTAACCGGGCACTTGCAATTTACCCGGAAAATCCAATTCATTTATTACTATTATTGTCCACTGTTATTATATTCTGTCTCGTGATACAGAGCGCATTGTGACCCGATTTCACTCGAGATGATATTTTTCTGCATTGTCACGGCAATTTTCAGTCGTGACAATTGCCACTCTCGCGGCTCGTACAACGCAAGGGTAAATAATATCGCGAGTAATCCTTGATATTACCTCACTCGAATGGAAAGAACCACCGCACAACTGGGGAGGAAAGAGCATCGGAGGATTTTCTGGGAGAATTATATTTCAATGTAGAGGGGATTACTTCGGGAGGTGGAGAAGCTCTAACATCGTGGGAATTTGTCATTCTATATTGCGGAATCAAATCGATTCGGAGATAATTGTTCAGAGATTTGTATTGTCGTTCTTGCGGTAAACTGGACTGTTGAGAAAAAATTGAAATTTCACGGATATTTGAGTAATAGTTCTTATGAGAGTGACGTTGAATTCTATTTAGAGGCAAACAAATCGGGAAATTTCAGATTTCATTGAGAATTCAATGAAACTTTACGTTTTTGTGCAGTTGGGAGTCGTGAGTTCTCCAACTTACTTGAATTTTCAATAAAAATGAATATTCACTACCGCATTTTGGCGGATTTTTTAATTGATTTATAGTTCAAGAATATATTGACCTGAATTTACACGATTTTTATTCATTTTTAAGGGAAAATTTGAATGTAATTGATAGTTTCCATTGGTTTTAAATTTTCAATGCGAAAATACTTTGAACTTTCAGTGAAAGTGCAATGTGATAAACAATTTTCAACAAGTGCACCGGCAATTTCAACCTGAATTTTTTAACAGTGTAAAGAGATAGTTCAAAGTTACACTGTTAGAAATTTTTTGAAATCTCATAGAAGATATTATAGTAAACTTCATGAGAGTGACACCGAATCGGGTTTAGGGAAAAAATAATTTTATCGGGATAAAATTCCTCTAACGTGGAATAAAATTTGATCGTCATATATTAATTTTTACTAAATGTCGGGATAGAAATGAGGAACCGATGACTCATGATACACTTTTATAGAGCGGCAGTATAATTTTTATCAAAAATTTCCGTGTATTGAAGAAAAAAATTGAAATTTCATGAACATTAGACTAGAAATTTCTAGGAGAGTAACATTTAGTTCGCTTTAGATTTTAAAAATCATGGAGTTGCACGTTTCGCGGAAAATTCAATGAAAGTTAGTCTCCATTGATTTTCCCATGATATTCGGAATTTTCACAGACGAAATTCATTGAAATTTCAATAAACAAATAGTTCAAAGTGTGAATCCACTTTAAATGACTATATTATGATGAATTTAGCGCAATTGTTTTGTGATTTTCTCGATGAAATTCTAGGTTACGAAACATTTTCAAAGCGATAAGACGAAAAAATAATAAAATAGCTGTATTACAAAAATGTCAGGCTAGAAAGCGTTTTCAAATGAACGTCAAACCAGGAAAAATAACTTGCTTTACTGATACGAAAATTGTAGTGGTGAGTTATCCAGCGGACATTGCAGATAAGAATGCACGTGATTCCTCAATTATTGGGCGAGCCTCAGCGTGGAGGTTCAAACGATAATGAAACGTCGGCTGCATTGGAGAGGTCACGAATTCAATGTTGTCGACAGCGTTTATTACCTGCCTTTAGCAGCAGGTGAGATATGTTACGTCCAAAACACAGTACTTACTGAAGATCTTTATTTCGGGTCAAAACGAAAATTATAGTCTTTACTCCAGGGAGAATGTTAATGTCTTCTGCTAACTTTTAAGCCAATGATTTCTTGAATAAACGAAATACAATTTTCCGAGAGAATGATTGATTAAAGGCTGACAACATTATTTTAAAATATTTTTATGAGACACTTTGCGTGCTAATGCGAGTGGTAGTCATAAATTCTTTCCTCATCGATAAGAACACACATTGTGATGGTAATTGCGTGGGGAAGAGCAATGAGAATTTGTAAGTTTAGGCTTCGCACTTGTTATATTCTTGAAATCGTAACAAATACTTGCAACACTGAAGAATCATGATTTTGGTTCTACGAATGGTGTTTGCTGTATGTCTTCTGCACCAGGTAAATCTCAATAAACCACCACCCGGAGAGAAATTTTTGATCAAAATTATCCTCTGGAAGTAGAATTCAAAACCAGAGTTGTGACAACATTGTCCAGTGGGGTCTAGGAGTCTCCCCTGATTGGTAAATCATCCTTAGAATCATTTGCACGCCATCTCGAGACTCATGATACACTTTTATAGAACGGTAGGATGATTTTCATAAAAAATTTCTCTCCGTGCAGTATTCTCTCGTTCAGGTACTCGGAATAGCAACAGTTTTTGTTATTTTTGACCGTAAATAACAATAATTCTGTTATCATCAGGGAAATGCTGATTATAAGATAGAAGTTGTGTCAGTAAGCTCGAAAGTCCCAGATATTGAGGTGACCTGTGATGATGAGGAGGGAGGCGATACGACAATCACATTCGATGAAGACCAATACGACTCAACGGTAAATGAATATGTGAATGGGATCACAGAGAAAATTATTTGTCGAATTTCAACTACTAGTTGTTAACTTTCACCAACAAGTTCAATAATTTTCTCCTTGAACCACCCATTCGGAATTTGACCTAAACGGATGTTCAATTTTGAAGTTTACAGCAGAATTCTTCCGATGGGACGACTACGATGAGAAGACAATCGAGGGAGAAGTTTGCAATGATGATTACATTGATTATGAAAGTGCTGAGGGACTGATGGTGAAGATACTCGCTGATATCATAGGAGTTGATGATTGTCCCACCCCAGCTGTAAGGATATTATCATGAACTCAGATAAGTTTGGAAGTTTTCGAATTTCAAAAGACTCCCGTCATTCAACAGTCCACACACGAATTTATTGGTAATTTATTCTCAATTCTTTCAGGGGACTTATTATGTGGAGAGAGAGTTTCAAGTTGAGGGCAATGCATTCGATGAATTGCTACCTCCGGGCTTTGGTAGTGGTGCAATCAAGGTGACAACTTACCATCCAGATGATGAGGGCAAAGAGGCCGTCAGTATGTACATCAGAATTTCCGAGGACAACTAGGAAAATTTTGAAGATATTGAACAATAATCTGTCATCTGATTGCCGTTTACATTTTCATTGCATAAATGTCGCCATAATAATGTACTAGTCAAAGCGGATTGTTCTCTGAATCTGTCCCAAATAAATGTGTTTCAGACATTACAATTTTTTTTTCTCAGTATAGCACACAAATCGGTAAAAAATACAAATCCAATCAAATTTTCTAGCTAAAGCATTTGAACTTTTTTCTTCGTGTGACTAATGACATAAATGAATCTACCTATTTATTGGTTATTTTCAGGGGGATTATCCAATAACTAAACAATTAGTGCGTGAAAACGCGCATTTTGAAACGTTAAGTGACGAATACGAATACGAAATTATTAAAATCAACCTTTACGCAAAGGGCGATGAAGGCGAAGAGGTGTCTGACATGCTAATATGGGTCGACATAAAAGAAATCATCGACCCGGCAGCAGACAAAGAGGCGGAGGACTAACGAGTCGTCCGATTCACTATTTCAAGTCCATTTTACCGATAATTACGCATTGCACACTACAATGACCACTCTGTATTCCATATTTTGTCGTGTTCTGCATGAATGATCTCTTTAATAAATAATTTTTGTGATTCATGACTTTTCTCCGTTATTATTCATCATTTATTATGCGAATTACTGCCTGATTATCTCCCTAAATGTGAAAACTCCAAGAATACTAATCGAATTTCAGTAGCGAAACGGTAAAACGTTTTAAGTAGATTCAGCCCTTAGCTGACTTTTCGATAAATATATCCGAATCTAAAAGAGATAACGAAATTTTCCTAATAACATTTTTTATACCCCTCAATCCGCTCTACAAAAAAGGTAATGACAAGAATTTTGCTGTTCCCCTTAGATTTCAAGATATTTATTGAAAACTGACCGACAGTGAAAATCGTCTTAAACCGTTTTACCGCTTCGCTGCTGAATTATTTCCACGATTTCGTGTTATATAATGGTTTGTTTGAACACCGAAACTAGCAATTACGAGTTCTTGTGAAGGGCAACCGGTCATAACTATTGCGTTTAAAGAATCGATAACACCGAAACAATTTTGCGACAATTACTCGGGGAAATCGGACAGTAGAAAAGCCGCTGCTATTCCTGTTCTGATATTAGTCATATCTTCAAAACGGTAACGAGTAGTCCAGACAACTGACGCATCATGAATTATATTCTGTGGATTGTGTTCGCTGCTTGTCTCCTTCACCAGGTGAATCTGGCAGAATTTCTGGACTGGCATTAAATTATTGTGAAATACAACGATAATCGATGCTTTTAATATTTCCAGGGTAACTGTGGAAACTATTGGCTAGGAGAAGAGTTGGTAACATCTCATCTCCCTGAATTTAAGGTAGCCGAGGATAAACGGATATCCCCCCAAACTAACGTGACGATAACAAAAGACATAAGTAGTGCCACGGTAAATAAATATAAATAATATATGAATAAATAATAAATAAATAATATATGAATTGGGTAAATAGATCAATTTACACTGTTAAAAATTTTCGTCTGAATTTCCCCGAAAATCTTTATCATGTTTAATTTCCACTGAAATTTCCGAAAATCTTGGTATTGAAAAATCAAATATTCCGTTCGTTTTCTGTTCGAATGATCTGAAAACCAATAAAATACGTAATTTTTCAGGTCAATTATTCTGTGAAAATTCGGAAAAAGGAGGAAAATTCATGTCATTTTATTTCTGATTATTCATTTTCCATTGAGAATTGAATCAACTTGTGAAATTTCCATCTCACTTCCACTGAAAACTCATGAATTTCCTCGAATTCAACCTAAAATTTGAAATTTCATAACAATTTTTCCCTCTAAATCAGGAAAAGGAATTTCCTCATTGAAAATTTAGAATTTTGTGGAAAAATCAAAGAGAACCGTCAATTTCAGTTCCATATTTCTCTAAAAATTAATAGAAAACCAGAAAATTGTGGTAAATATATTCTTGAATTTTCAGGCCAGTGTCACTGAATGCAATTTAGGGGGGGAAAATCATGAAATTTCAGATTTTACTGAAAGTTCAACGTAAATTGGCACTAAATATTCATATGAGATTCGCAATTCAAATAAATTACGGAATTCTCGTCTTGATGGTGCTTAAAATTCTGGAATTTTACTGAATTTTCAGTGAAACCTGAAATTACATGACTTTTTTTCCCTGAATCGCATTCAGTATCACTGTCTTGAAAACTAATATTCAACTGTCCATGAAATTTCATTTTTTTCTAACAGTGTACTACCCTATTTTCCACGAAATTTCCAGAAATTTCAAACAGTGAATTGATTTAACTGTTATTGTCATGTTCAAGTTCATTGCAAATATCTTGGAATATGGTATCATTGATCGAGCGACAGTGAAGGGTGATGTATGCGAAGCTGAGGAAGGTACTTCTCAAGCTTTCATTAACCAGATAATCTACGAAACCATTGGGGTTCAGGGCTGTCCCTTTCCAGTTGTAAGAATCGTTCATCACTCTATCTCAAATTTATAACTAATTACGAAAATTAAGTCATCAATCTATTGGGTATTTTCAGGGGGAATATGAAGTAAAACAGGAAATGATACGTGAAAACGTGAACATTCCAGAGTTGGATGAAAAATTCAGTAACGGAATCATACGAATTAATATCTTCAAAGACGGCAATGAACGCGACAATACATATGACATACTAATCTGGGTCTCAATACAAACACTCACCGACGAGGAACTGGAAGAAGAAAAGCAGAGACTGGGACAGTCCAAGAAATAATGAATTTTCCAAAATACGATTTCTGCGTAATTTTATTGACAATTACGCACTCCATATTGCAAAAATAATTCTGTATTTCATGTTCTACTTGTTCTGTACTAATGATCTTTTCAATTAAAAAATTCCCGCAGTTTATCCCGATTTCTTCACTAAAATTTAGTTTCAGGAAATTTTGGAGTAAATTCGAAAATTATAAAAATTAATATATGAATTAAGTTTCAATCACTTTCAATATTTATTAATAGTTGAATGCATCGGAGTTTAGCGCAGGCAAGGGCTGCATTCTACACACGAATTAATTCAAAGTATCATTCATAAAACAGTTGGACATGAGTTTTTTGAATTTCTCAAAAATTTCCCTGAAATGATTCAAATTTATTGAATTATGAATAAGAAAAATTTTTCCAATCCCACTTTAACAATCTTTCAAGATAACACAGATGGGATCATTCTTTCATTTCATTTATCCACGAATTTTCACAAGAAATCTAGGACAATTGATTAAAAAAGAAATATAATGGAACTGAACCACACGCTTCAATAAAATAAAACCATAAATGATGTACAATGGACGAAAATAACGAACAAAATGACAATTGAAAAGCAGTATTTCTCCGCGTAATTGAAAAAATCTGGAATGGAATCTCGTGGAATACAGATTGAAAAATGAACAAGACCCAAACAAAAGCAATTGCCATTCTTTGAGGCTGGGGAATACAGTCGGGTCAGATAATACGGCAGAGTAAATCGAACATTGCGCTTCTAAAAAGGCGAATAAAATCAATACAGCTGTCAGGCATATCGATATAACATAAAGAAAAGCGCATCTGGCGTTTGCATGAGCGGGCGAAACCATTAACTGGCCAGCAGATACTGGCATTACCCATGTGGTGGTACGAAGCCCATCGCCGCTGCCTTCGAGGGGCCAGAATGGTGCAACTGGAGCCGACGCATTCACCATACACTGCAAGACAATACCTCCACTATAACTTGCTTCCAGTTGCAATCCCCACTTTACGGCAACGTAAATAAAATAGCGCATTTTAATCGAAGCCACTGTTTTCTCGCATATCCGAAGGTTTTTCGCGGCTCTTTTGCTTCGAATATTGAGCGACGATCTGCTGCAATTGATCGACATGTCGTTAAAATTATGTGTTCCCCCGAAGAGACCTTTTGTCGTCTTGAAATTAAAAAACAGTTGGAAATATTTTCTCAAACGTCAAAAAGGGAAATATGCATGGAACGCAATAAATGTGACTTTTCCAAAAAAATCTACAAAATCTACAGAGCCATTCTCGCTTCACTGGGTGAATGGTAGACGGCGTACACACAAGTTGAAATAAATCCTGTGGGAGCGGCGCTTCCGGTTCCTGTTGGGTTGACACGTGTCGCCAGTTTCAATGCGTTCGGATGTTGCTCTTCATGCGTGAATTTTATTTATTGCTCCATCGAGCCACGTCAAATCGATTGAACGAGAATTAAGAGAGGGGTTGGAATTGTCGAGTGCCTTGAAACCAGACAATGTCACTAGACAATTGAAATTTTTTTTTTTCTTTCCACTAGTGGATGAAATCTTCATCATCTCCATTGAATAAAATTCACTGAGTGATCTCGAATGGTGAAATGTCCCTCCCAAATTAATTAACTTGAATGTTAAACCGGGCGTTAATTAATGCATTCCACGAGCCAAATAAATTTGTTAATTGCGGCGAGACGAATTCACCCCGGGATTTTAACAACGACTAAACTATCCCGCCAATTGTAATAACGAGGTCTCCATAACCGCTGGATACACTGTAATTCAATGAGACTATGCACACAAGTTAAATCTGTATAACATTTCAAAAACTCGAAGTGGACTGTATCCACAACTCGACGTATCACAAAATATGAGAAACAGTGTGTGGAGAGTATGGAAACACGAGGAATGAGGAAACAGCGTCGAGTATTATCACGCAATTTTTGCTTCCGTGAGTCCTTGAGTCGCAATTAGGGGAGTTGTATCCATTTTCTTGATGCGGAGTGATTTACCGGGTGTTCACAAATAATTATTTTTCGTGGGTTTTCTCATGCAGTGAGGAGTTGAAAGTGGAGTGTAATATATTTCTAGAAGTAAATGAGACATCGTAAGTTTGAAATAGACCCTCGAGCACGCGGAAAGAATATAAATATTTTTTTTTCACTGTGGGAATTGTAATTTTGAGGATTGTTAGAATAACTTCAATCAAACGACCCATTCACGCCTAATTAACAGAATTAAATTAAAGTAACTGGAATTCCCGTTGTGATGCACCACCACAACCAAAGTTTTTCAACCGGCGCCAGCATTCATGCCATTTACATGGACAAAGCCAAAGGGAACAATGGGAATACGACCCTGTAACCGCGAGATGTCAATGCCGGAGCCTTGTTAACCATTATAATTAATCCGGTACGCAATTTTGTTAGAATTACAACGAGTTCTCGGTTTCCACCGAGCATGATAGCTCGAATGTTTGAGTCTACGTACCCAATTCATCCGTTTACAAGTGCCATCCACCTACTACACGCTGACTGTCGCCAGAAATTTGCCTGTGAATTAATACCATCAAAACAGTGCCAATAGCGATCCATCAACAATACTTCAAACATCGCATCGATTTCTATTTACTCAGAGCATTACTCATTCCCGTAATTTGTGTTAATGCTTTTTGGGGTATTCATTGATCAATTAAGTTGCTCCAATGACGTCACATATACCCGATGATTGAATAGTTTTAAATTAAGTTAAATGTGCAGTTCGAATTTCAAAATTATAAAATTTCAAAAAACCCGAAATTTCTAGAAATCCGCCGATTTTTTTAGAAATTTATAGATTTCCTAGAAATTTTACATTTTTCTCTCAATAAAAAATCAAATCTGTGCTTCAAATCTGTTGAATACTCCACATAATTCACAACAGAAAAATTTTTCTCGCAGTTTTCCAGACAAAATAAAAAAACTTGTTGAACTAAAAAAAATGTTCTATAGTTCTTAATTTCCCCTCGCATTTCCCATTATTAAATTTCTCTCTGACTTTGAAACAGCGGCTAGTTCTCGAAATTCTGTGTTTCTCAATCAAAAAAAACTTCAAGTGTCAAAATTATAAAATTTCCAAAAACCCGAAATTTCTAGAAATCCACAGATTTTTTTAGAAATTTATAGATTTCCTAGAAATTTTACATTTTTCTCTCAATGAAAAATCACATCTGTGCTTCGAATCTGTTGAACACTCCACATAATTCACAACAGAAAGATTTTTCTCGCGGTTTTCCAGACAAAATAAAAAAAACTTGTTGAACTAAAAAAAAATGTCTATAATTCTTAACTTGCCTTCGCATTTGCCATTATTAAATTTCTCTGTAAATTTAAAACAGCGGCTAGTCCTCGAAATTCCGTGGATTCTCTCTCACACACTTTATGTACTACATCCCGTAGTCCCCGTAACATCTGCATTAAAATTTCAACGTATGACATTTCAACTGAACTTAAAATGCGGATCGTCGGTGTGTCGTGACCGCAGTGGACCAAACCTGTGTCAGACTGATAAAATAACGGGGTATGAAAGGGGGCATTGCTGTAATAATGCGAAGTACGAATTTACCGCTAAAATTTTAAATGGCAGGGGGGTGGGGAATGGGGTGGAATTGTCGTAAAGCGGTCGGGTCCTTCTTCTTTTATGAAGGTCGGGTTGTGAAGTGGTCGATATCCAGTGATTTTCAGGGGTTTCGAGGTTTTTACGAACAATTTTTTTAAGAATGCAGAAGTTAATTTTTTACATTTATTAATTAATTATATTTTCTCTTATCTGAATTGAAATAATTCACACGGAGAGAAATGTTCAATAAAAATTACGGAACTCACAATTTGTTCACCGATTACGGAATCGACTCAGAAAATTTAAGTGACGGTATCGTAATTTTTCACAGGAGATTCAGATAAAATTACGGAACGCTCTGGAAAAATGCAGAGACAGTTCCGTAAAATTTACTACAACCACATTTCGCTCCGGAATTACGGAAAAGATACGTAATTTTTATTGAATATTTCTCTACGTGCACCTAAAAATGCCGGGAATAGTTTTTCCATCACGAGCATTGTATTTCCATATGTCTGACTCGACTCAATTTATTCTACTTCTACTACCAATGCATTCACAAGCCATGAATCAAAACCTTTCCAACCCCTGATAATCAAGCCATGGAACCACTCAAATCCCCCCCTAAAAAATTCACATCCCAATATCGCCGATCAATCCCAAAAATTCCGAAAAAAACATTGTTCCCAGCGTCATCCGTGGCGAAAATTTAATCGTCAGCAGTCGCACTCCATCACCCGCTAAAAAAATAGAGCCATAAAGACTGAATGCAACATTTTAAAAAATCGGTCTGCATTAACTCATCAATTTTCCACACCGATTATCATAATTACTGAAGCCCGTTTGGTGCGCTTTTATACGGAATACTGTCGCCCGTCTGGTACACATGGGTGTCATAATAAAGCATTTCGAGTCATTGCAACGGCAAACAAATGTGCACGGATGTACAAAGCTACTAATCAGTAGTCCAACAGCGTCCAAAGCTGCGGCGCTTTGCGCGAGCCAGATATGTGGGAGAAATTTCGTTGGCGGCGGGATGGGAGGTCCACCAGTGGATACACGCGGTACAATTCTCAAAGTTTATTATAATTATTCAGCGGCGAATGTAATAACTATGTCATAAGCATTGAGCGATTTAATTCGATTAATGGGCGTCATCTGATTGTGGGATTGATGGGCATCCGTGAGGGACTGTTTAACGGAAAATTTTCGTGAATTTCAGGAGAAACTCTAGTGCATTGGGTCAATTAAGGGGGAACGAGTGAATGACGTGGAGAATTTCAAATTTCGGACGTTAATATTTTGACACACTTTTGTCCTTTTTCAAGACGGTTGTGTCCTTTTTAAATTATTTAAATTATTTTCAACGTTTTTTTATACATGAGAATTTGAAAAATAATTTTCTACACACAATTGTATTTTTTTAGCAGAGTAAACCACACGCCTTGAATGCTTTAAATGAAAAAGAGATATGCATTCTAGATATTTAGGGGTCTTAAATATTTGTTTAAAAAATTAT